TTTGCAAGCAGCTAATTACCTTCGCATACGAACGATAAAAAGGTTGGTAACATTTCGATATTTAGACTACATTATGACCGGATACCGGAAAACGTACCTATCGTTTTTAATATCGCATTAAGAACGATGCCAGCAACCTCGATTATTGATACAGTACCAACAGACATTAATTAACCGAGTGTTTGTTATCTCTCGGGCGTAGTACTACGGCTCATTTATTATTCCCACGAATTTCAATCCGCCCCTTTAATTACGTAGTCCGTAACGAAAGTAATGAGACTGATTGTATTGCGGTATAATTGAAAGTTTTTGTTGTTATAGAACGTGGTTTAATGTAGCAACAGTGCTGGAAGTGATTTTTCGTGAACTGATTTTATTGATTGGATGTGATGAAATTTAAGAAATTGGGGCTAGTCGATTTTAGGCTTGCGGATTTAGAGGTTTAGAGACTTGAAATTTAGAAATTTGGAAATTTGAGGGATTTTCAATTTTGAGATTTGGGATTTGGAAATTGAAGGATTTTGGGATTTAGAGATTTAGGAATTTAGGGAATTTTGCTGTTTCGAATTTGGGATTTAGGGATTTGTGGATTAAAAAATTTAGAAATTTGAGAATTCAGAAATTTGGGAATTTAGGAATTTGGGAGGTTAGAAATTTTAGAATTTAGAAATTTGGAAATTTAGGAATTTGGGAATTTAGGAATTTGGTAATTTAGGAATTTAGGAATTTGGGAATTTAGGAATTTGGAAGGTTAGAAATTTTAGAATTTAGGAATTTGGGAGGTTAGAAATTTTAGAATTTAGAAATTTGGAAATTTAGGAATTTGGGAAATTAGGAATTTGGGAATTTGGGAATATAGGAATTTGGGAATTTAGGAATTTGGGAATATAGGAATTTGGGAATTTGGGAATTTAGGAATTTGGTAATTTAGGAATTTAGGAATTTGGGAATTTAGGAATTTGGTAATTTAGGAATTTAGGAATTTGGGAATTTAGGAATTTGGTAATTTAGGAATTTAGGAATTTGGGAATTTAGGAATTTGGTAATTTAGGAATTTAGGAATTTGGGAATTTAGGAATTTGGTAATTTAGGAATTTAGGAATTTGGGAATTTAGGAATTTGGTAATTTAGGAATTTAGGAATTTGGGAATTTAGGAATTTGGGAATATAGGAATTTGGGAATTTAGGAATTTGGGAATTTTTAGGAATGTGTGAATTTAGAAATTTGGGAATTTAGAAATTTGGGAATTTAGAAATTTGGAAATTTAGAAATTTAGAAATTTAGAAATTTAGGAATTCAGGAATTCAGGAAGTTAGGAATTTAGTAATGTAAAAAATTTGGGAATTCGATAATTTGAGCATTTGGGGATTTTGAGAATCATAAATTTGGAATTTTCGGAAATCGAATATTTCAGAATTAAAATATTCGGAGAGTTGTATATTTTGAAATTAGGAAATGTAGCCATTTTCAGATTTGGAATTTATGAGATGTATAAATTTCAACTTAAGAGAATCCAAAATCCAAAAATTCGTCAATTTCCCTTAATAAGAGTATTCGTAAACTTGTATATTTTAGAATTTATAAATTATTCAATTCATAAATGTGAACATTTTAAATAATACTTTAATTTTTCATATTTGAATAGAAAATAACACTTCCATCTTTAAAATTTGATTAAAGGTAATATTTCATTCTTCAATATTCAATCATAAAAAGACTACTGCAATCTCCAATTAAAAAAGTATTCAGTCTTCAATTAAGAAAAAATGTCAACCTCCGATATTCAATTAGAAAAAAAATACTTGAGGAATTAAAGGATCACTCAGCAATCTTGTTGAAAGGAGCTTGTATCCCCAGATACAAACCGGAAGAACATTTGAAAGCTCGGTGAAAAGTGGTCAGAACAATTATAACCGAGGCGGTGTACGAAGAGGAGGTAGGAAACGGATGTTCCACTCGTAGGACCGATGTTTCTCGGGGTGGTGAGCGTGTAAGTTTCGGGGGTAGGTCGATAAATCGCGAAAGAGATAAGCCGGAATGCTACAGGAAATTAAGGTCTCGCTCGACTCGACATCCCCTAAGTCTCTCGAGCTTCGTGTCTGAGCCACTGTCCTTCCTCTCTGGCTTTCACTTTAGCCCTCCGTTCCACATAAAGCCGGCCTGATTAAGTGCATGTTGTCGAAGAACGATCATATCTCTCATGTGGTTTTCTTCGCGGTGGACGGTTTTTTTTCCTCCTCTCCGTTGAAAAGGCTCGACGAGAGAAGCCCGATGAAAATGAAAGGCCTAGACGTAGGCTACCACCCCCTGCTTCCCGAGGGACCATATAGCGAACGAGGGTGGAAAAATATTAGGTTGCTGAATTCGAGCCGTCACTTTGTTCCTACAGTGTATCATTCATGTATTATCGATTGGCTGCAAAGCGAATTTGTATAAATTAATTATCGGCGAAGTTTGAAGCGTGATCGTCGATGTAAGGTGTTAGATTGAAGAATTATACTCGCTCGTTTTAACTTGAATAATTAGTACTTTGATTAAGTATAGAAGTGTTCGATTTTATTACGTAACTTAAGAAAATATGTGGGTCATATTTGAAATAAAATGTAGCTAATGTGACCCACTTCGTTTCATATAATTTGATTTATTATGATATTTATCGATTAATTCTTCTTTGTTGATATATAAGTCTGATATATTTATGACAGTATTAGAAATCTAATAAAATTAGTACTGAATTACATACAAATGTCCTTCAAAATCATAAATGTAAGGTAATATACTGGATGTCAAAAATATACTGAAATATATCTTAATATACCTACATTTATAGATCTATCCTCATGTTATAAGATCCTAAAATCCCTATGTCTCATATAGCAGTATCCCAAAGTTCTTATATCTCATATATCATTATAACCTTATCTTATATATCTTAATAACTATAACCCCAAGTCTTCATGTCGGTTTAATCCATGATACCTAAGCCTTATATCTCCCATATAGGCTACTATATCATCAGATCATTAGATTTCTGGTTACGTAAATCTTCAGATAATTCGATCTTTATATTAATGAATTCTTACGTAATTTGATATATTCCTAATTCTCCAGATAACTAGACATCTTATAGTCCTAGATTGTTAGACACTTAGATTTCTATATTTCCAGTTCCCTACATATGAGATCTTTGTATTCCTAGATACCCAGATACTTCGATCTCTAGACATCTATTTCTTGAAATATTTCGATTCGCAGATACCTAGTTCTTGAAATATCTGTGTACATTTTTAGATACCTAGTCCTTTAAATACCTACATTCAGAGATACCTAGTTCTTGAAATATCTGTGTACATTTTTAGATACCTAATCCTTTAAATGCTTACATTCACAGATACCTAGTTCTTGAAATATCTGTGTACATTCCTAGATATTTAATCCTTTAAATACCTACATTCAGAGATACCTAGTTCTTTAAATAACTATGTACATTTTTAGATACCTAATCCTTTAAATGCTTACATTCACAGATACCTAGTTCTTGAAATATCCGTGTACATTCCTAGATATTTAATCCTTTAAATACCTACATTCTCAGATACCCAGTTTATCAAATACCTACATTCCCAGATATCTAGTCCTGTAAGAACCCTAGATTTCCAGATATCTAGACTCGTAAACATCTACAATAAGGAGCATAGCTGAATCAATAACCACTAGTTTTATATAAATCTTTATTTATTGCTAAGAATGTAGAAGAATATTAAAAAATGACATTATAGTAAGTTTTATTACAGTTAGAAGTAACATCAGAAATTTTTTCAACAATTAATGTCTCTTATTCCCATATACCTAGATCCATAGATACCTAAATCCTCCATCAATAAACCCCTAAATCTTCATCCCTGGATCTCTACATTTCTATATCGTCATAACTTTAATTTCTAGATCCCTGCATCTCTGTATTCCTACATTCCCGTGTTTGTAAATTCCTGATAACGTGTTTGCATCCACAGATTCCTAATTTTCTTTATCACTATATCCATAGAAGTCTATAATTCTTGCAACGAAAGGAATGAATGAAAAGTTGTACCATCATGTAATATAACGTTTCTACTACAATAATTTGTATAGCATTTTTATTGTCGTTTAATATTAGGATACATAGTTGGCCACTTACGGTCAGACACTCCCAGCTAATTTCCGGCTGTAAATACTCGATTCGTTTCCATCCTGTTCACATCCCTCTACTCCTGATCGATGGCTCTGTTCCGTTTCCATTCCATCACTCTCGAACGATGGCTATTTTTATCCCAACTAGAGATTCCTTCATTTAACGTCAAATACGGTTCAATTATGTTCGACGAATATCTGTTAATTTTTTCATGAACCTTAATTACGAATTAGAACTTCCGGCACTCTGTTTTCTTAGGTTCATTTATTATTGAAACTTTTTTATCTTTTTTTATTGGAATCGGAAATTATTCAGTGTTTTCATGTAGTTAGTAAAGATTTCTGCAGTGCCGCTGTGCTTTGCATTTAATTTTCACGTTTTCTATTTAAAGCATTGATCTGCGCCATTTTCACCACATTATTAGTCGCCGTTGAATAGGGAATTGAATAAAACTCGATATCAGTGACGTCAGAAGCTGTAAACTCTCGAACTGCGAAACTGGGTTTTTACGAACCGAATCTGGTTTGAAAAATTCAAGTAAAATTGTCGAACTGCTGTAATATGTAAATCACTATTTTTTATTGCTAATTTTCTGATTGTTACTATGTAGAAATATTAGTCTCCTATCTCAGTATGGCAGATTTCTAATTTTCTAATTTACAAGCATTGATTTTGTACAAGAATAATTTGTTTATAAAGTACCTTAAATTTTAAAATTAAGTTAAACCTTAATTTTTTAATTTTTAACATTTAGTATATTACGAGTATTGTTCTCGTAAGAAGTATATAATTTTATTCTTAACGCGTTTGCCCCAATTTTTGTTACAGATACGCGATTGGCTCACAGTCGAAGAAGAGATGCTGCGAAAACAAGCGGTGGTCGTCGGCGATGTCGGCGAAATCATGGAGGCGCTTGATAAACAAATGGTAAGCAGATTATCGGCTTTAGCACGACAAAGTTATACATTTTAAAAGCGGTAAGCGTCTTCCGCTCTTGAATTTTGCATGATTCTGGTTAACTCTATGACTATTCAATCCGGTTATTCATTTCCTCAAATACTCCCTAAATATAACCCTAACATATGCTACGATATGATATATTCAGTACAGTAAAAAATCAATACGTATTATATTTCAAAATTATCACAAAATAAATATTAACAAATATCATCATAGAAATTTGATTAATAAGTAAAAAGTATTTAAAGATTTATATTTACTTCCTTTTTACAATTTATATTTTTAAACATTTCATCGAACACTTCTTAAATATGAATAACCTTCCTCACATTCATTTCAAATTCATTAATAATCTTCAAAAAAATTTGATGTCTTTCGAACTTTTCTGTCTATGATATATTCAGTATGACAGTAAAAAATCAGTACGTACTACATACATATATGTATATTTCGATATTATCAAATATTAATAAATATTGTCACAAAAATTTGATAAATAGATAAAAAATATTTGAAGACATCAGATGTACATTTACATCTTTTCGCATTTTGTTTTTGAAACATTTCATCAGATACTTAAACATGGATAACCTTCCTCATGCCCATGTAAAATTTATTAACAATTTAAAAAGTTTCTCCAACTTTCCCACCTATGATATATTCAGTATCAATACGTCAAATAAAAAAAATCAATACGTCCTATATTTTAACATCATCCTACTAAATTAGTAAATTGTTACTAAATAAACAAATACTATCATTATTTAACTAATCGGTCAAACATATTTCAAAAACATACATTCCTCATATTTTATAATTTACAACTGTTTTATCAAGCGAATCAGTTGTCACAAATGTAGGGAGTTAAAAGTTCTTGCGTCGATAACATCGCGTTCTGCATTATCCACGAGGGTAGGAAATGGCTCCTCTCAAGTTTCATCCCTTATCTACCCTGGAGGGTAAAGTTTACACGCGGTGGGCAGGGTGAAACTTTCTGTGTTATCAACGTGCAGTTCCCTGCAATTTGTCGACGGAGGGTTATTTCTGGGAAGTTTGAAAGCAACCCTGAGTGCAATCGCAGGATGGCGTTCTTGTTTGACGTCGAGGGTGGGGATTTCTGGGTTACTGACCGGCAAAACCCTGACATTGGCATTGGCATTAAGGGTCCAATGAACGCTGCCACGCCTTCCTCTCTGTGCGTCGCCGATACGTTGTTGCTTCACGCGCAATAGTTATACTCGGACTATTGATTGCTTCAGCCCCGATTTTCTGCTTGCATGCCGCGTTTGGTTCTCTCATCTGGCAATTTCTTTTCCCTTTTTTCTCCATTCACTTTTATTCTTGTACCTTGTAATTAGATAGCATTTTCATAACTTTTCTTTAGCAAGCCTTATTTGACATCTTTGCTCAGTAGGTGCATAATAATAATTTGTGTAAATTGTACACATTGTAAATTCCTCATTTTTCTCAAATTACTTTTATTCTTATAACTTACAATTGGATAGAATTTTCATAAGTGCAGGTCTAGTTTGACAATTTCTTATTTTTACTATTGCTCACTGGGTACATAATAAAAATTTGGGTGAATTTTGCACATTGCACATAATAAGTTTCCATTTTTATTTGTCGATGTACGTTTTCATCTTTATTTATAAATGTTCGTTTCTATTTTTCTATTCATATACGGTTATACAGTCATGTATTATTTTTTGCAGAAATGCTTTTCTTTTAATTAGAAATAATTTATCATAATTATATGATGTCCACTTCAATTTTATTATTTTCACAGTTATTGATAAATCCTCACTTTCTAAACGTTCCACTCTCAACTATGTACTCCTTTATGTATGTTATTACATTATTAATGAATGTGTGCATATTATGTACACAATTGTTATTTTTCATCACAACAGTATTTTATTAACAACCTTGATTGACCTACAAGTTCATAACAGTTAAAGTAACTTAATTAGTTACTTAATATAATAACAACCAAAAGTTGGCAACAGTAAAACATTTTAATTGCAACTCATTTTAATCGAAATATTTTCACTGAAATCAATTGATATCTTCACTCAAATTGATGAACGTGTAACAACAACTGACATCAATTAAAACCCTGTTGATACGTTTACGAGTAAAGATACAAACTTAGATAACAACGACGAAAAATCAGTTATTGTACTTCACTATTCCAGCTATTAATTCCATAAACTGTATGTGAATGAATTTTATAGGTCATACCGAAACTATCGAATGTAGTAAATGAGTAATACAGCAGATACACAGTGACATTCGATAACAATATCGATGTGACACGGCTGTCGTGATCTTTCAGCATCGAAATGAAACGGTGCATTGTTCGATAAAGCTTGAACGAACGAATTAATTAAGACTTATTGGCAGCCCTTTCGAGACCTCTTGAATAGAGGTTGGTACCTGAACGAGCACTTCCCTGTCTCTCTTTCTTTTCTCTCTTTGTTCGGTTCGAGTCTCGATTCCGGGCGAGGGAACCACCGTGGCCGATGATATTTCAAATTTTTTTCCCTCCGCGATCGAAAGTGGCCAGAAAGTTGTGCATAGACTGATGGCGGAAATTCAGCTACTTCGACCGATGCTTTTTACTCGCGAAAAGAAAGAATGGCGTGTTCGGTTGATGAATGGAGGGCGATTTCACGAGATCACACGACGTTTTCTCCTTAAAGCGTCACTCGGAATCAAGAAACTACTCGAAACGCGATTTCTCCTAGATAGGCGAACATGAATTTCTCACTGCGACGGTTTTGCTCTAACGTATCGGAGTGATAGAGGATGTCGGAAATCAAGGCACATTGATATTTTAGGATTTGCTCACTTTGGAGTTTTATGTTGGACATTTGACACTGAATTTTGGAATTTGCGAATTTGGGAATTTGGGAATTTAGGAATTTGAGAATTTAGGAATTTGAGAATTTGGAAATTTTGGAATTTGGAAATTGGGGAATTTTGGAATTTGGAAATTTTGCAACTTGGGATTTGTGGAATTTGGGAATTTCGAAATTTGGGAATTTTTGCAATTTTGCAAATTTTGCAATTTGGGAATTTTGGAAATTGGGAAATTTGGGGAATTTGGGGAATTTGGGGAATTTGGGGAATTTGGGGAATTTGGGGAATTTGGGGAATTTGGGGAATTTGGGGAATTTGGGGAATTTGGGGAATTTGGGGAATTTGGGGAATTTGGAAATTTGGGAATTGGGGAATTTAGGAATTTGGGAATTTTGGAAATTTGCGAATTTGGGAATTTTTGAAATTGGGGAATTTTGGAAATTGGGAAACTTGGGGAATTTTGGGAATTTTGGAAATTTGGGAATTGGGGAATTTAGGAATTTGGGAATTTTGGAATTTGGGAATTTTTGAAATTTGCGACTTTGGGAATTTTGGAAATTCGGGAATTTGGAAATTGGGAATTTGGGAATTTGGGAATTTGGAAGTTTAGGAATTTGGGGAATTTGGGAATTTGTGAATTTTGGAAATTTGGAAATTTGGAAATTGGGGTATTTTGGAATTTGGGAATTTGGGAATTTTGGAAATTTGGGAATTTGGGGAATTTGGGAATTTGGGAATTTGGAAATTTGGGAATTTGGGAATTTTGGAAATTTGGAAATTTGGAAATTGGGGAATTTTGGAATTCAGGAATTTTTAATGTTTGAAATTTTGGAATTTTGGCATTTGGGAATTTTTAAAGCTTGGAATTTTGGAATTTTAGAATTCGGATAGTTTGAGTTTTTTAAATAACTAAATCTTTAAATCACTTGGTCAAGTTCCAAAGTATGAAATTCCCCAAAACCTGAAATTCCCTGCTAGCTATAAAATCTCAAATCCCCAAAATACAAAGTCGAAAATTCCACCATAAAATAGTACCAAAATCACTACCACCTAAACGACTATATCCTACAAAAGAAGTTCAAACAGACAATTTCTTCAAATAAAATTGATATGCAAGTGTTTAAATTAACGATTAATAATTTATTTGCATAAACGGAGATTTAAAGTGGTTTCGTAGTAGCGTTTATTAGTCTTCAGAATCAAAGGCTGTAATATCATAGCCATCGTTGTACTTGTTCTGCATATTTCTTCCAATAATCCTCGTTTTACTTTCTTCGTCGTGATCGAGTTGTGAGAAACTTTGTTAAAGAGGTAGCACGGATCCGATATCTAATTACGCCGAGTTTTGACGAACTTTCCTCGACCAACTTCCGATTTTCATAATTAGTGTCTCGTCAGTCAGCACCTAAATTGAAATTACTTTCGAATTATTTCGACTACAACCGGGAACAAATTATATTCTCTTTTGGAACGAACAAAGTGCATGTAAGTTTCGAAATTTTTGAAACGTATTGAAAATCTTGAAAACTTAGTAATTTAAAAACTTAGTTAGAAATGTCAAAACCTATTTTAAAACATAAGGGCTTGAATACTTGAATACTTGAATAATTGCATAATTGTATAGTTGAATAGTTGAATAGTTGATTAATTGAATAGTTGAATAATTGAATAATCGAATAGTCGAATGATTGAATAATGGAATAATGGAATAATGGAATAATTGAATAGTTGAATAGTTGAGTAATTGAATAATTGAATAGTTGAATAATTGAATGATTGAATAATTGAATAATTGAATAGTTGAATAGTCGAATAATTGAATAGTCGAGTAATTGAATAATTGAATGATTGAATAGTTGAATAGTTGAATAATTGAGTAGTTCAGTAATTGAATAATTGAATAGGTGAATAGTTGAACAGTTGAATAGTTGAATAATTGAATAATTGAATAGTTGAATAGTTGAATAGTTGAATAATTGAATAATTGAATTCTTTTAACATGTAGCTCAGAACTTGGAACTTGAAGCATAAATGCTTGAAATTGGAATAATGCTTTATTACTTGAAACCTGAATAAGCCGAATACTTGAATACTTGAATCAT